ATATTTTGTCCAGACATTAAACAGTGATTTTCTGACAATATGGTTCTTGAAGGCCTTATTTGCTTTAACTTTGTCATACCATAAATATGCATGCCATCCAAAAACATTGTTAAACCCTTCCAGATCTAACACATCAGTGTCTTCAAGAAGTAGCCAGTCTTTTAGCCAGCAGAACGCTGCGGCTTCATAATACAACTTTAAGTCTGGCAGGGCAAAGCCCCTCTTTGTTTTGCATCAGTTAATATCTTAAACTTAATTCTGGGCTTTTGCCCTGCCAGACAAACTTAGAAATGTCTCTCTGCCACTTCTGAAAGCACTCCATTTTGTCCAAAACCTGAAGTGTCTGAAATAAAAACAACATCCTTGGCAATACATTCATCTTAATAGCAGCAATTCGGCCTAACAAAGAAAGTTTCAATTTTGACCAACTATCTAAGTCTCTTTTAATTTCTGTCCAGCATTTTTCATAATTGTCCTTAAATAGACTTAGATTTTTGCTGTTATGTTTACCCCTAGGTATTTTACTTTTTTAACCACATTGAGTTCCGTCTCATTCTGAAACCGTTCTGACTCTGTATCAGTCAAATTTTTCCCCAAAACCTTAGTTTTCTGTTTATTTAATTTAAATCCAGCCACCCGACCAAAATCATTAATCAATTGTAATACTCTTTTCGTACTGGGCTCTGGCTTCTGCAGGGTCAAAACCAGGTCATCTGCAAAAGCTTTTAGTTTATATTGTTTCTGACCGACCTGAATTCCTTCCACCAACCGATCCCCTCTAATCATGTTCAATAGCACTTCCAGAACCGAAATGAATAACAAAGGGAGATAGGGCAACCTTGTCGTGTCCCTTTTTCAATTTTGAACTCTTCTGTGACCACATTATTAACTATCAGTTTAGCTTTCTGTTCTGAATATATCGCCTCAATCCCATTCTCAAAACCCCGTCCCACTCCCATCTCTTTTAAATTTCCCATCATAAATTTCCAGGAGATATTGTCAAAGGCCTTCTCCGCATCTATGAAAATTAAAACTGCTTTTGTATTTATATCTGTTTGCAGAAGTTCCAAAATGTCAATAATGTTCCTTGTATTGGCAAACAGATGTCTACCTGGGAGAAAACCGGCCTGGTCCTTATGAATTACTTCATTTAAGACTTTTTTAAATCTACTTGCCAAAATATCTGCAAATATTTTGTAATCCACATTTAAAAGGGAGATGGGGCGGTAGTTCTTAAGTTGTGTCTTTTCAGCTTCCGACTTTGGTATTAATGTGATAAACGCTTCCTTCCACGAATCCGGTGCCCTCTTCCCCTCCATAATTTCATTGCTGACCTCCATCAAAGGTTGTATCAAATAGTCTTTTAATGTCTTATAATACTTGGAGGTCAGCCCATCTGGCCCTGGAGATTTGCCAAGTTGCATGTTCTGAATGGCTTGTTCAATCTCCTGTCGTGTTATTTTAGAATTCAGAATTGTCCTATTTTCTTGTGACAATTTAGATAGTCCATTTGTTGCCACACATTGGTTAATCTCGACTGCGTCTTGCGGCCCTTGGGTGTATAATTTTTGAAATATCTCTGGAAACACTTTCTAATATCCACTGGATTCTGAATATTTTTCCATCAACCTCTAAGTTTGTAACCGTGTTTAATCTTTGTCTTCTCTTCAACTGCCAAGCTAGCAGTTTTCCACATTTATTCGCCGACTCAAACGTTTTTGCTTCAGTAATTTAACCTTCCATGCAATTTCCTGATTTATCAATTTAGAATATTGTGTTTGATAAAGCTTAATTTCTCTCAGAGTTGGCTGTGACTTTGGATTCACTCTTAATTTCTTCTCTAATTCTTTTATTTTGTCCAAGATCTTATCTTTTTCTCATTTTGTGTTCTTTTCTTTACTACATTCTGTTGTATCAAGAATCCCCTCATTACAGCTTTGCTTGCGTCCCAGACGATTCTTTTTCCACCGAATTGTTCATGTTTATCTCAAAATAGTCCTTCAAAACTTTTTGGGCCTTCTTGGTAATTTCCTGATCTCTAAACAAATTGTCATTCATCTTCCATCTAAAGGATCCAGTTGGTAGTAGTGTCATATCCATCTTTACTGCATTATGGTCAGAGCAGGTCTTTGGGCAGATTTCCACTTTTCTGACCTTAGGTGCCAGGCCTCTGGAAATCCATATTTGGTCGATTCTTGTCCAGGTCAGTTGGGCTTCAGAAAAGAATGTTCCTTCTCTACCTAGTGGGTTCTTTGTCCTCCAAATGTCAATCAAATCCATATTGTCAGTCATTTCAAAAAAAGTTTTAGGTAGTCTGCCGTCTTTTGTAACATTTTGACTTTGTGACTTGTCCATGTTAGTTGACACGACCCCGTTCATATCTCCCATCATTATGATGTTGTTGTAATCCAGATAGTCCAGCATTGTCCCCTGCAGCTTCTTGTAAAATTCCGATTTCCCTTCATTAGGTGCATAGATTCCTAATATCAACAGTTTCTCTCCTTGATATTGTATCTCAATGGCCAAAATTCTTCCATGTTCATCTTTAAATAAGAATTTAGGTGACAGGCTCTCTTTGCATATATCACCACGCCTCTCTTCTTAACTTTGTCCGACGAAACAAATTCCTGGCCCAATCTTTTATTTATTAACACTTTTCTGTGGAGCCTCGTCACATGTGTTTCTTGTAAACAGATAATGTCCAATTGTTCTTTTTTAATATATGAAATATTTTCTTCCTTTTTTCCGGAATGTTACAACCATTAATGTTCCAACTCAGCAATTGCAGAGACATCCTGGATCTATCTGGTTATTTCTCCAGGGGTGGTATCTTCTCTGGATCTTCAGGTTCCCCAGGTGCTGGTGTTAATGCTGGCTTTGCCCCAGGCCCAGAAGGTAATTCAATTCCTTTTGAAGGTCCTCTCCGTATGTAGCCAAAAATTTGTCTCTCTCTTCCAATGTTCTAACTTTGACCTTTCTCCCTTTAAAGGTAAAAGATATTCCTTGGGGAAATTCCCACCTGAATGGAATTGCGTTGCTCCTTAGTAGTTTAGCAAGTTCAGAATAGGCGGCTCTAAGATCCAGCAGTTGTCTTGGAATATCTTTATAAATTTCAATTCTTCTGTCCAAAACCTCCAGTGACTTTCCGTAATGTAGGCCCAAAATCTTATCCCTTTCCTCCTTTGATCTCAATGTAATCAAACAGTCTCTGGGCCTCTCCTTCTTTGTGAATCTTCCAAGTCTGAAAGCCGACACAATTTTAAAATCCTTTTCTTCCAAATTCCAGAACTTGGAAAATTCTTTAGTCAAAAACTCAGTTAAATTTCCTTCTTCTGCCTCTTGTAATGATCTAATCCTCAAATTATTCTCACGATTTCGCAGTTCTATCATGGAAAGATAAGTCTGATGTTCCCCAACTTGTTTAGTGAGTGGTCTTACCTCTTGCTCTAAATTTTCCAATTTTTGTCTAGTATCCTCAGCCAATTTCCGATTTTCTGCTGAGGCCTCCGTTAACTGTCCAATTGCTTGTGTATTCTGTACCACTTGTATGGTTAATTTATTTAGACATTCTGTATTTTTGTCAATCTTTGCTGATTGCGCATCTACTTTCTTGTCCAAAGCTTCCAATTTTTCAAAGATTTTGTCTAGAACAGAAACAGATGCTCCTGAGGCCATATCTTCCAATTGTAACTGCTCTGCTTCACCCTCTCCCTCTTTTGCCTGTGGCAAGGCAACTTCTTCAAGTTCTACTTCTGAGGGCAAAGTAGGTACAGATGATCTACGTGTCTGCGAGGCTGAGGTTAGAGTTGTTAAAGTTGTTTGTCTAACTCTCCCTCTTTTCCTTGTGCCACTCATTCCAACGTTGTCTATCAGTCAAGGTCACACTGAGTTTTTCCCATGGGAATAGAAAGGCCCAGAGCAAGCAAACAACAAGGGAATCGAAAGTAAATGTAGATGTAAAGTCACTGTTTTAATCCAATCCTCTAGAGGGAGCTTAAAATGTCTTTCAGAGTCTAATTTAATGTCCAAGAACCTTCAGATATAAATATTTAGCAGAGTTTATAAGTAGTCACTTTGTTACAGACAGTGCTTATTTATCTCCAAAAAGAATGTTTCAAATTTAAAAAGTCTCAATACCCTCAGATTGTTGCAAGTTCCAATATACAGTATCCAAATCTGCAATACTGACAGCTCAATCTCTCAATGCTCAGGCAGCTCCTGACTCTGGGTTTCACCTTCTAATTTGTAATCCAATAAAAGGAGGAAAGTCAAGTGCAAGTTAAAATTCCGAATCTTTAGCTTAAAGTCTTTACTTTAAATTGCAAGTTCAGTAGATGCTTAGATCTGTAAAGTTTAAAATCTCTTCCTTTCAGCCTCCACTCCTCCAACTTAGTTGCTTTTTTCAAGTTCAATGGCTGCGGAAGACGGACTTCCTGTTTCCACGTCTCTCCGCTTTCAGCCAAGTTCAAGCCAATTTAAGGTTTTTCATTTAAAGTCTCTAATTTCAAGTGATTCAGTCTTTACTCACGAGTAAGTTGCTTTTCGTCCGAATCCGTATTTTAACAGGAAAAAGGATCAGCGCTCACCGGCAGCAGCAGCGCGGCTTCACTCCGCAGACTGTGAAGCAGCTCTCAGCGCCGCAACCCCTCCACGCTCCGGAGCCCCTTACGAGGTTCCTTTCACGTTTGGAGGGTCACTTAAGGCGCCCACCGAGCCTCAAGACCCCAAGCTCTTGCTGCCTGGGGTTTTCCGGAGTGGGTCTCCGCTTCGCCGTAGCGGACGACCCGTTGTCTGCGGAGCCTCCTCTCCCGTTCAGAAGAGGACCGCCATTGCCGTTCGCGCCGCCCCTCGGAAGTTGGAAAGCTCTTTTCATTCCTAGTTTTCTCACTGCAGCATAGGAGCCAACTCCTGGGGGCTAAGGTCCCTCTGATCCCCCCAAATTGGGGTGACCGCAGGGCTTACCTGGGTCCCCCCCAAATTTTAAGCAAGTTGGCACTTCTGCCTTGCAGAAAGAGCTTTTTATTTATTTTTGGTAATAATTTTCATCGAATTTTCTGTTTTACAGTTTCAAATAAACATTTTACAAACTTTAAAATATCCAGTGACTTCCCTTCTCCTTCCATGGTTCCATTTCACGTATCATACATGCCTGCATATTTTACTACAACCCTTCAAATCAATTTCCCACTTTTACATCCATCAAAAATTATTTACTCTGACGAATTTATCTTAATGCTGCCAGCGTTTTCAGCTGTACGTGCAGAAAGAGCTTTTTAAGCCCTCGGGTCTCTGGAGGCTCTCTTGAGATCTCTCATGTGACCCCTTCTGGCAGTTCTTTCGCCCTCTTTCTATTGATTCGCTAAATTTTTCAACGGAGCATGCAAGGCTGCGATCGCATAAGTAAACTGCGCACCAGGTTTCGGGACTCCTGTATGGAGGTGGCAGAGCCGTCACCTCAGGGCAGCACATTTTCAATGTGCTTTTGCGCCACAATTCTTTGCGAGAAAGTGCGCCGGTCAAATCGATCTTCATATAATCCGACCGCTGGCTTTTGCTCGATGCCACAGCCCCGTCGGTGAAATCGTGAATTATCTCCCGGATTAACTGCACGTGAAATTGGATAGACAGAATGGCTCAGCCCACCTTTTGTAGAAAAGATTTATTAATGGACTATGAAATATTAACAGAAAAGACAACAAGAAGAGCTAGAAAGTTGCTCGACAGGCTCTATGAAACAACAAATCCCTGAAGCATGATTTATACCCATGGGACTTCACACTCCTTTCACTTCAATCAAATCCTCCACTGGGGGGGCGAGGTGTGTGTGTGTGTGTGTGTGTGTGTGTGACATTTCCTGAACATGTATTAGAGAACTCAGGGACGGTCATCTCACGTAGGTCTATTCATGTGGGAGATTCAAACCACCAAGAACCAGTTGTCCGTGTGGTAGAATCAGCTGGGGCCTGAGAATCCTGCCTTTCTTTTTTGAAACTCAAGTAGCTAGCCCTCATGCTTTGTCAGATAACTTTGAAAACAAGTAGGCAGTGCGCAGCTCTGTTGTTTAGAGGATGGAGCTGTGTTGCTCCACATGTCTACAAAACCCATTTTATTGATCTATAACAGTTCTCCTGGCACAGCGGTGAAGACCTGTGCCCCCCCCATGCTGCTGCGCTAGAACTCCCACCTGGAGACCCCAGATTCAGCCGCCCCTGCTCTGACCATAAAACCCTCTCACCCATCATTAAAAAACCACGACTCTCCCTTTGGCATATCAAAGGAGCAAAATGAAACATTATCTGGTGTGATAGGGATTTTGAGATCTTAGATATATGGTAATGTTCATAAGTGTACCAACCAAGCACGTACATAGATCAGAACAGGAAGACTGACCTGAAACCATTTTGATTCCCAAACTGACCAAATGTTTTCCCTGCAAGGAGGGGGGTTAGGGAGCCTTCCCATTGTCTCAGGAATAGAGTAATCAGCATTTTAATGGGTGATAGGCTATCAGGAAAGGCAATCCGGAAAAGCAATCAAATAACCTGGCAAACAGGAAAAACAACATTCAAATTTCTGTTTAAGATTGCCTTTTCTGTAATGTAGGTATGATGTATCTGAGGGGTGGCCTTAGGTTACACCCCTTCTGTGATGTATGTATGATGTTTCTGGGGGTGGTCTTGATCTACAGGGTGGCAATTTCAAAAGTCCATATAAGGCCTTGCACATCATTGTTCTGGGTTCCTCCTCCTTTCCTGCGTGTGAGGGGAGCACCCTGTTGCAACAGATCAATAAAGATCAAGCTTACTAGCTGCTTTGCTTCTCAATATTCTCTGGTTGGCCTCTGTTATTTTCTCCTACCAGTAGGGAACCCGTGTAAGGACTCTATATGGGCTCTTGGATACCCCATAAGGGAAAAGGGCAATTTTGTTTACAACACTGGGTACGGGGCAGAAGATTCAGCCTGAATCTTTGGCTGTGTTTGAAGCAGGTCTTAGAAACCTTTGGCCTGGAGGCAGAAGAAACACACCCTCGTGGACCCTCCCCCAAAAGATGGTCTTTACTTTAGCACCAGAGTTTCATTTTCTGAGCCATTTTCATGCACCAGACTATTTTGGCTTGGAGGGGCCCGACCTTTATCTAAGCCCACCCCATGGGCCAGCTTTGGTGTCAGGTGATTTATAGGTGGGGGAGGGGGTCACATCCATGGACCCATGGTGGGTCGGGGGGGGTATGTCTGCTTAGCCACTGGATTCTGCACGGTACATGGATGGGTGAAACAGCACCCAGCAGGATTGAACTCCACTCCCACCCTCCCCATCAGCAGACATCTGCCAGTGGCACCAGCTGACTGTCAGCTGCCTGTGGTTTGGCCTGGCGGGTCTGGGGAAATGGCCTCATGCGGAAAATTGGGCCCCCTGGCAGAAGTCTGGCAGAAGGTTAAAATGAATTCGGGAGAGGGGTGGGGAATTCTTAGCACAGCCACATGACGACGGAGCGCGCCCAGGGTCTAAATAAATGAAATAATAAACGAATTTGAGGATACAAATACTGCTTTGGAAGCAGCACTGCCTGATTGCTTCTGTGCCGTCTGCAACATGCATAGTTGCAATCAGATTATTGCTATTTTAAAAACTAAGCCTACAGTGTTCTGTCTGCTCCAGCCTATTAAAAATCTGTCCTACACTTTCAATGTTTGGCTCAAGGGAGCATGAACAACAGAGTTTATTCCACAGTTCCTGTATTTTCATTACTGAAGGATAGATTGATGCAGGAAAGTTTAATTTTGAAGACTTGGCCTTGAAGCTTGCACGGGTGACTATGGGCAAATGTTTATGGGATGGCCTTTGCAATTTATTTCATGAGGATGAATGACAGAATTGTATTGATATGATGCATAACTCCTTTTTTTGGAACCACCGAAAATTTAGAAGCCCTGGGAAGATCAGATTGTAGTTGGAAAACCCACTCTGCAATATCCGACCTCCTCCTTGCCTCTGTGAGCAGACCAACAGATGCGTATATTCTGCAGCTCAGACTAGAATCGTCTCCTTTTCAGTCATTGAAGAAGGTTTTGTGAAGCTCCTGCGGGCAATAGTTGAATGGACAGTGTCCTCACTCAGCGCATTGGCCAGCCTGGACAGGACAGTCACCTTAAACTTTTTGAAATCTTGGCCCATGAAGACATAAAGAACAGGGTTCATGCAACTGTTGGAAACAGCAATGGCTGTGACAATTGGTATTCCATTCTCAAGGACGGCTTTGCTGAGAAAGTGGTGTTGGGTTTCCATGAGGTTGAGCACATGGTATGGGCACCAACAGAAGAAGAAAGTCATTATAATGGCAATGATGATTCTCAAGGGCTTTTTGGACTTGGCGAGGCGGTTTCTTTTCAGACGGACAATAATGATAACGTAACACACTGTGATGACAGTCATTGGTACTATGAAACCAGCCAGGAATCGCAGAATGGTGACTGTCTTATGCCTCTTTTCATCTAGATGGTGGTGAGCTGAAAGGCTGGACAAAGAGTAGTTGTTAAAACAAATGACACGATCTTGATGTGCTGCTGTGTCCCGAAAAACAAGGGCAGGAGAACTCAACAGAAAGCCAAGAACCCAGATGAGGGCACACAGCAACCAAGCAATCTTAGGATTCCGGTGGTTTTGAGACCAGACTGGAAAAGCCACCGAGATGCAGCGATCGATGCTGATCATGGTCAACAAGAACACACTGGTGTACATGTTGAGAACAAGAAGGAAGGTGTTGACCTTACACATCCCTTTGCCAAAGACCCAGTGGTAGCCCATGGCGGTGTAGGCAATGTTCAAGGGCAGGAAGACATTGAAGAGGAAGTCGGCCACCGCCAAATTCAGGAACCAGATGGCGTTGACCGACTTCTTCATCTTGAGCGTGATGACGGAAATGACCAAGCCGTTGCCCAGGAGGCCCAGGATGCAAGTGACTGTGAAGATTAGGAGAGCAAGGATTCGAGTGATGAATGTAAAGTCTTGGGCTGATTCCTTCGTCCAGTGGCTTTCATCAGTGGTGACGTAGTAGTCGTCATTGTAGTAGCGGCTTGCTTCATCATAGTAGTCCGTAAAATTATCAGGTAGATCCATGACCTGTTGGAACACAGATTGGTGAAAAAGTTAATTTTGTGCAACTTGCAGGGCAGACTCCAAAAGAGAGGAGCAGAGACAGCTGGAGCCCCCTAAATTTGGCCCTGGCGGTAGACTCCTGGAATGATTGGGGAGAGGAAGGAGCCCTATTCAAGCATGCTACTTGTGTGTAGTGCCTTTATGCAAGTGGGGATGAGCTCTCTAAGGTCTAACAGCCATGCCACTACGCCCACCACTCTGCACAGGTTGGAGGGCGAAGTTTGGCTTGCCCTGATCACCTGTATGTTGCCTGCATAGGTGAACATGATGCTTGAACAGGTTTAAAGACTGCAGCTGTAGACAAGAGAGGCTAACTGACAAAGGAGAGGGAGAGTTGCAGTAAGGGCCGGCTCAAGACATTTTGCTACCCGAGGCAAAGGACAAGATAGGACAAGAGATACACGGTGAAATGCTTCATGGGAGATATTTGTAAGAGGAGCGTCATGTGTTGATTGGCTAAGGGTGGAGTGCGACAGCTGGAACAGGTTGTGGGGAAAGAGTGAGCGGGGTTTTAGGAGGAGAAGGAAAAGGGTGGCTGTTGTGGGTCCTGAGGATTAGGGGATAGGATTAGCATTAGGGTTTGCATTAGGAATAGCATTTTAATTATATGTTAAAATACAAAGTATTCAAACACAGGTATTAGAAACAAATCACATAAGAAGCTGCTGTATTCAGCTTTTACTTGAGTAATAAAGTTTTGCTGTTCCAAGCACGTCTCATATTTGGCCAAGCTATCAAGAGATAATGGTGTTTTTATGGTGGCAACAGAGCACCAGTAATTAGGAAATGGCTTGATGTTTTCAAAGGCCAGAACTGGGAGCCTTCTATTTATTTATTGTCCGATCTTCACCCTAAGATCCCAGGTTGGGTTACAGAATTAAAACACAATATTAAAAACCAATTAAAACAACCTGCAGTCGTAAAAATAAAGCAGGTCCTAAAAATATATGCCTCAAAATAATTTTGCAAAAGGAAGTAAGAGTATACCGGTTTTACTGCGTATAAGACGGGAAGATATAAGACTGCATATATCCAATGAAGATTCCAAGCCCTACATTACTGGAATTCCTTCCACCAGATTGTAATTTTCAAGCTGCACACAATCAGCTCTCTCACTCTTGTTATCAGTGGTTGTGAAACTTTGAGTTCATTGGAAGCGTATTTGGAGTTTTCCCATGGAAATATATAAACATGTGAATCTACCTTTTACTGAGTTAGACCACTGTTCTGTCTAATACAACACTGACCACACTGACTGGCTTACAGCTCCCCCGAGTTTCAGGCAATAACCTTTCTGAGTCTTCCTGCATACAATTCTATGTTTGTATGAGTCGTGTCCGTTGATGCTGAGAATTGAACCTCGGACAATACAAAACAGACGCTCAGTCCATAATCAATCAGGGCGGTCAAGACACCTTTCTCACCACTGCAGATTTCTCTTTGCAATGCACAGAGGAGTGTTGGGAGTGTTCTAGATAAAGGACGTAAGGAGATTAGTGTGGCTCTTCCTTTGCCCTGGAGTGGTTTACAATTCAGATGATGATAACTAATAGCATCATTTGCAATATTCAGAACTGATGTCGAAGACAATAGAGATGCGTGTATGAAGTGGTAGTGCAGCCTGACCCAAAACCCAACAGCGTGGCTGGGAAAGTGAGTCAGGATATTTTTATTTTTTTTTAAATGATATTTATTAAGGTTTCCAATAAAAAGAACACACCAATAAAAAATTAAAAACAAAAAAAAGAAATACACAATTCAAAAATACACAATACATAATCAAAAAAAAACAAAAAACAAAAAAAAGACAGAAAAGAAAACAATTAAAAACAATACCACCTTTTCATCTCCATTTTTAAATTTACTTATTTTCTGGACCTCCTCATACCTCCCTCTTTTGTATTCCAGTTCAAATTGTTTGTCCAGCAATTTCTTTCCCTCTTTTTTAATCCCAATCTTTAATCTTAATATAAAATAACATTAAATTTTACCTCTTAAAAACCAAATTTCCATTTCCTTTAACTTTTTTTTTTTAATCCTAATCCTTAATCTTGATCTATATATAACTTTGGGAAAGTGAGTCAGGATAAAGCATTCTAATTTACAGCACTTTTCCTTTTGTCTCCGGCCGAATTCTGGGCTGAGACCAGTGAAGTTTTTTTCAGATGCAGAGGTGCAGTTCTCCAGGGCCACAGGGGGTTATTGACCCCTCACTTAATTAAGTCCTACTGAGTTTGAGGGCCCCGGTGCCAGCTTTACAGTGCCATCCTATTTGTGCTTACTCAGAAATAAGCCCCGCTATAATTTTCTGTGTTTCTGAGCAGCTGTCCTTTTTAATGGACTCATTAGAGCAGTGGTGTCCAAACTTTTTTCAAAGAGGGCCAGATTTGATGAAGTGAAGGGCCGTGAGGGCCAACTAAAGGGCTGTTGAGCTTTTTTAAGGACTGAGCTTTTTTTTAATGATTTTACCCCAAAGTTATTGATCGTTGTTTTTTTTAGGGTTGAAGTTGTTGAGGTTTTTAACTGACCAGCAGGCTGGATTAGACTCCCAAAACATGCCTACATTAGAGGGTGTCTGGAAGTGAAGCTGTGAAGAAAGTGTTGGGAAGCTGCAGGGGAGACGGGGGCATCAGGCAGGCCCCCAGCTGGCTCCAGCCACCGGCCGGCAGCTGGGCGAACTCTGGTTCCCAGAACAGCATCAATCAGCGACACGAGCCTCCGAAACGTTCAGAAGCTGTGCACACTCTTATCAGCAGAGCGAAGAAATCCTCACAACGGAAGTGGCAGACAGAGACATGTGTAGGCATTATTTACAGGCATTTATTCAGCATAGTTCAGGAACAAAGGAAAAACATGTTTACTTCCCTTCGTGTCCAGCAAAACAGCAGTATAGCAAAAGCAACATACAAACGAATGTTCCCAGCAAGCCTGTGCTGGAAGTAAACAGGCATGTGACACACAACAGTCATGCCTGTTCCTTTTAAGGTGGAACGGAACTATATCCTAACATCCTCCCCCTTTCTGTGTAAACCGTAGTACCTGTGGTTCAACCCAATTGCAACCTCTGTACATAAACCTTAAGTTGCTCTCTGGTAACAACTTTAGACAACAGATCTGCAGGAATTTCGTTTCCTGGCATGTAGGACACCTGAATGAATCCTTTCTGAATACACTCTCTTGCACGATGTAACTTTATCTGCAAGTATTTGGTTCTTTGCTCGCATCTTTCTGAGTTCAGCAAAGCCAAACAGGATCTATTGTCTTGATACACCTGTATAGGACATTTCACAGAAACCTTGATGTCCTGAAACAGTTGCATCAACCATTCACAATCCATGAGTGAAAATGACAGAGCATTGAGTTCTGCTTCACAGGAACTTAGGCTTACTGTCGTCTGCTTTTTGCACAGCCAGTCAAAGGTGTTGCCATGGTTTATGGTCCTATCACCTCCCCCATCCCGCAATTTTGCAGTTGCAGGCAATGTCAGGGCAAAGCCCAAGAAGACACACACACACACACACACACACACACACACACACACGCCTACACACACGCAGGCAGGCTGACTGTGGTTCCTCTGCCTTGTCAGAGTTCGCAGAGTCCTTCTCTCACCCACAAGGCTGCCTCAGCACATTTGCTAAACCACCAGACAGTGTGTCCCAAATTAGAAGCCTCCAACTTCCTGACTCAGCTGCTGCCCACCATGTTAGCAGCAGCGAGAAAACAAGCAGGCAGCGAGAATGCCCGTGTCACAGGGCCAGGGAATAACTCCAACAGGGTTTTCGTAAGGGAAAGTCCTCTTGTTTTACAGTGGAGCAGCACAAAACAGGCTATTGAAGCAGCATTTTCAGTCTGTGTGCCAAAGGGGGCCTTCTTGTCTCCGACATTTCAGTGCCAATGAAAAAGACAAAGCACTTGGTTGCCTGTGAATTGTAATTACAGGTAGGTAGCCGTGTTGGTCTGCCGTAGTCGAAACAAAATGAAAAAAATTCCTTCCAGTGGCACCTTAGAGACCAACTAAGTTTGTTCCTGGTATGAGCTTTCGTGTGCATGCACACTTCTTCAGATATCTGCAGAAGATATCAGATATGGTATCTGAAGAAGTGTGCATGCACACGAAAGCTCATACCAGGAACAAACTTAATTGATCTCTAAGGTGCTACTGGAAAGGGAAAAAATTTTTGTGTGAATTGTAAGGCAGAAAGCATCCATTGCACAAATGGACCTTCTCCTCCACCCCTACTTCTTAATAATCTACCCCATGATTTGTAATCGCCCATGATTTGTAGTAGGGTTGAGTTGCATTTTAATGCATACCTAATTCACACATCCCTAAACAACACGAGAAGGGGAACTACAGCTATCCTTTAACACCCACACATAGAATCATAGAATTGTGGGGTTGGAAGGGACCCTGAGGACCATCTTAGCCTACTCCCTGCAAGCAGGGAAATGTTGGACCAAGTCACCCAGTGAACTTCATGGCTGAGCAGGGATTTGGACACTGCCCCCCCCTCCCAGGTCCTACTTAGTTCAGTGGGTGGCGCTGTGGTCTAAACTACTGAGACTCTTGGGCTTGCCAATCAGAAGGTCGGTGGTTTGAATCCCCACAACAGAGGGAGCTCCCGTTGCTCTGCCCCAGCTCCTGCCAACCTAGCAGTTCGAAAGCACACTAGTGCAAGTAGATAAATAGGTACCGCTGCGGCGGGAAGGTAAATGACGTTTCTGTGCACTCTGGTTTCCATCACGGTTTTTCGTTGCGCCAGAAGCACTTTAGTCATGCTGGCTGCATGGCTCAGAAAGCTGTCTGTGGACAAACACCGGCTCCCTTGGCATGAAAGAGAGATGAGCGCCACAACCCCATATAGTGGTACCTCGGGTTACAGACGCTTCAGGTTACAGACTCTCGGGTTAAGAACGTTGCTTCAGGATGAGAACAGAAATCATGTGGTGGCGACACAGCAGCAGCGGGAGGCCCCATTAGCTGAAGTGGTACTTCAGGTTAAGAACAGTTTCAGGTTCAGAACAGACCTCCGGAACAAATTAACTTCTTAACCAGAGGTACCACTGTAGTTGCCTTTGACTGGACTTAAGTGTCATGGGGTCCTTTACCTTTACCTTTTACTTAGTTCAGCATTCTAACCACATCAACACACGGGCATCTCCCTCCCAAAGTCAAACTTCATTATATCCAAGGCTGGCCAACTTACCTTGGCACCTGAGAGTAAAATTCCACTAATAATAAATTAAACAACTGACAATTTGCAGTTCTTCCATCACGCCCCTCTCTGCTTTCTGGTGGGGCTGGCCTTCCCCCCATCCTTCCCAAGCTAGATGGAGGACCTTTTCCTTAACTAGTTAAAGCACAAGCCTGTCTCAACTGGTCCCTTCTGCATCTGCAATCCGGCCACTTTCCGGAGTGGGGAGGGATGGGGTGCAGTGACGTTGTGTTGGGGGTGCCAGGGGGGCCATTGCCCTGGGCGCATATAAGGGGGCGTAAACCAGGTGCCATCCACAGAGATCCAGCCCATGTGCACCCGCCCATCAGTGGCGAGGGCTGGGGAACGTGAAGGATGCTCTTCAACTTCCATGCCCCACCCCTGCCACGGCCTGAGCCACCCCACACCCCGGGCACTGGCAGACAGTGCTATGCCCCTGATGGGGTGGAAGCAGAAAGGTACCAACATCAGAACCCGAAAGCAACAAGCCGGAATAAACACGCAAATAAACTTTGTCATTGGAGTTTGGCTGCGAGGCAGTCCGGACATGTAATTAACGGCAATCGCAAGCAGATGTGGAAAGAACATCTGTCGGGAGGTCTCACACTCCCACTGGCTGGCCTGAATTCCTGATGCTGCTCATAAAGCCCAGCAGCCAACAGAGTGGTTCCTTTCCCAAAGTCAGAGCTGGCTGTGTTCCTTCCTGGACAGAGCTTGATGCACCCTTTCCTCTTCGCAGCCAGCTGCGTTCAGACTTTCTGCCGTCAAATGCTTCATACTTAGACATTAAAGCATGGAGATAGCACGTCTCCAGCAGTTACATCACCTTCCGTACTGAATGAGCCTTTGTATTTCTTTTGGCCCTCGTGGAAGAATCCATAACATTATACAGATCTCTGGTGTGGCTGCCTTGGGAACACTGTGTACAGCTCTGGTTGCCTCACCTCAGAAAGAGTGAAGCAGAGTTGGAGAAAGTTCAGGAAAGGGCTACCAAAATGATCAAAACCACCCAGTCCAACATTCTGTTCTCTCAGCTAGCCTTCTCTATTTATAGCCTCTCATATATATGAGCTGCGGAGCTAAAGAAGGCCAACTTTCATAGGTGAGCTTCAAATAAACAGGAAATGTCGCATTTGACTGCAGGCCTATAATTTAGCTCAATTACGGGGTTATGGGGTGGGGGTGGGGAATCCATTAGTCAGAAGAAACTGAAAGGTCTTTTAAGGCAAATATCTATCCAAAGGCAACAACCTTTCAAGATATGGCAGCAGCTTAAAGACATTTATTATGGCATCAGCCAGGGCCCATTTTGCTGGCTACATCTCATCCTTAGAAAGATGAAGTAGGCCTGAAGTTTGAATTCCCCACGCCCAAAGCCAGAAGGGATGAGATCTTTACATGGACGGAAAGAGAGAAGTGGCAAAAAGTACAAAGCGTTGTAGGAATTCAAATATACAGTGGTACCTTGGGTTACAGACACTTCAGGTTACGCGTTTTCGGGTTGCGCACTGTGCCGAACCCGGAAGTACCGGAACGGGTTACTTCCAGGTTTCGGTGCTCGCGCATGCGCAGAAACACTTAATCACGCTTTGCACATGCACAGAAGTGCCAAATTGCAACCTGCGCATGTGCAGACATGCCACTGCGGGTTGCGAATGTGCATCCCACACGGATCATGTTCGCAACCCAAGGTTCCACTGTAGGATAAATGTTGATAACTGCACAAGGTAAACACACATACATAAGTATATAGACCACATGTCTAAAACAGTACAGGAGAGCAATCCCAAAGCCATCTTGGCTCTTCTAAAGACTCTCAATATTTCCTCTGCCTTCTTAATCCCCCTTGCCCGAGAAAACGTAGGCAGATAGCAATCAGGGGAAGTTCCTGAAGAGATTCCTCTCCTATATCTATCAACCTCCTTTGGATTAATTGTCATTGTTTGCCCAGATGCTCCACACTGAGCAATGTCTGACAGGCATCCTGATTGTCTTATCAAATGCTAACATTTTGTGCAAACTGTGTCTGGAACTATGAATCTGGAATCCTCAGGAATATCACCCCTTGGCCTGCCTGAGCCACAGTAACCCCACCTTACAGTATGCGTGATGCAATTTCTGACTGTTTGTAGAGGGGATGTCCTCAGAGCCGTCTTTCCTATGGGGCTTACTGGCGTGTTGCGCCAGGGCGCTGGCCTCTCAGGGGCGCCCCGGCGAGTGGGGGAGCTGCGCAGCTTTGCCGGCAGCCTCCCCTTTCCCTGCACACCTGCCAGCTGTGCCGTGTCAACCATATGGCTGGTGGGCATGCAGAGCTTCCTTCCCAAGCCTCCGTGGAAGGAGAGCGATCCCTGCAGAGGCTTGGGAAAAGGTGACAACTCTGGGAAATGGGGGTCTTTGCACCATGGCGCTGGATATGCTTAAGACAGCCCAGGCTGTCCTCCTCCTCCACGCCAAAATGCAAACCCTTTAAAAGAGATGTTTCTTCTTGGTTCTGGGTCTCTCTTGCCTCCTTCCTAGGAGGCGAGGGAACTCTGTTGCAACAGAAAAATAAAGATCTGCCTTTTTTTCACTGCATCCTGCCTCCATCCATTCATCTCTAACCAATCATGGACTTAGGGAACTCAGTCCCTTGGGGAGCTGGGCAGCAAAAGCCAACCACCCCTATTTTTGTATATCAAAAGAAACAACAACAATCCCAAAGCACTTTCTCACTTTGCAGGCTGCTTCTGGTCGGATAGGAAAAGAAACCCTTTTTCTTCCTCTCTCTCGAGGGAGAATTTGTGGATATCCAATGAACGTTGGGAGATTCAAGACAGAGAAAAGAAAGTACTTTTTTTATGCAGTGCATAAACTATGGAACTTGCTTCCACAAGGAAGCAGTGATGGCCACAGAGTTGGATGGCTTTAAAAGAGGATTGGACAAATTACCGGTAATTGAGGAGGATAAGGCTTGGGCTCGGACTCGGAGCCAGAGGAGACTCAGTCTGCACCGGATCCTTTGCCTCAGGCATCATCTGAACCAAGTCTGGGGCTGATCCTGAAGAGTCCCAGTCTGCACAGGTTCCCCTGCAACAAACACCAGCTGGGCCGAGTCAGGGGCCTGAGCCTGCCCTGGCTCCAGATGCGGGGATGACCTCGTTGCCTCCAGCTGGGCCATCACTTACAGCTGCTCCACTACCAGTTTGGTCAGGGGAGGCTGAGGTGGCCTCTGGGTTTAGCAACCCACCCACGTCTCCCGAGCTGCAGAAACTAAGGTCTGAGAGAAGGAGAGACCTGAGTACTCTCAGGAGGAGTGCTTGCCTTCGGGCGAGACAGGGAGGTGAGTCACCAGGGGATCAGGACCAGCTGTTACCCCAGCAAAGATAAAAGGCTGTTGGACCCCACTCCAGGTTGCGGGAGCAACATTGCTGTATGCCAGATCCTGCCCCTGTCCTTGCCTGGTTTCCTGCCTTGACCCTGTCAGACCGACTCCTAGCGGAACCGTCGGATTTTGGACCAGACCTGGACCGTGGTTCTCGTGTTACCCCCGGGCCCAGCACAGGTGGCTAATAACCACATTTGGTTACGCTCTGCCTACCCAGTCCGAGGCAGCAATGCTTCTGAAAATACCAGTTGCTGGAAAACACAGGAGGGGAGAGTCCTCTTGAGATCGAATCCTGCTTATGGGTTTCCCATAAAGGGCGTCTGGTGGGCCACTGTGAGAACAGGATCCTGGACTAGATGGGCAATTGGCCTGATCCACCAGGGTCTTCTTAACGTCCTTATGAGTTGCAGTCCATTTGGACTGCAAACACCTGTTGATTCTATTCTCCATTTCACCCCAACGCCTTGAGAAAGACCTACAATACAGTGGACATCCGGGTTGTGAATGTGATCTGTGCAGGATCCACGTTCACAACCTGCAGCGTTAGCAACCCGCAGTGGCGCATCTGCAAAGCGTGATTTAGCACCTCTGCGCATGTGCGAATGCTGAAACCCAGAAGTAACCTGTTCCGGTACTTCCTGGTTTCGGCAGTCCGCAACCCGAAAAAACGCAGCGTCTGTAACCCGAGGTATGACTCTACAGCCATTTTCCTTCAGCTTCAAATACAGTGGTACCTCAGGATGCGAACGGGATCCATTCCGGAGCCCCATTCACATCCTGAAGCGAACGCAACCCGCAACTGCACATCTGTGGGTCGTGATTTGCTGCTTCCGCGCATGCGCGTGACATCATTTTGACCGTCTGCACATGCGCGAGCAGCGAAACCCGGAAGTAATGCATTCTGTTACTTCCGGGTCGCTGCGGAGCGCAACCCAAAGGCGCTCAACAACTTCAACCCGAGGTATGACTGTAGATGACATGTGAGCACCAGTCCTTCCTGGGAGTGGGAAAGACACAATCATGTCTCGAGCGACAAAACAGCAAAATAAAATTGCACGAGATGTGGTAGAAGCAGGAGGCCAACGTGATTGCAACGGCCTCATGTGATGTTCCCCAAATAGACAGCAGAAGACGTCCATTTCTGTTAACTTCCTCCCATCAAGCCATCCTACTGCTCATTTTCCACCTGGCATGCTATACTTGTCCCTCCCTGCCTCCATCAAGGACTCCATTCTCATTCCGAAAAGATATTGTTGCCTGTCAGTCCAACCTCTGAGTGGCAAGAGACTCCCAAGGCTTCCTGCACTTACTCAGGGTTCAGTTTCCTTGGGATGAAGGTCCACGGAGACTGTGGTGTCTTCAGGATATACCTTCTACCTCCACAGATACAGGATCCCAAGAATCGGGAGGGACTCAGGGCATCATCCAAACAGACCCCCACCCACCCACTCACAACAATATTTGGAAGGATCTGGCATTCAGATGGCTGAGAAGACTGCCAAAAATATAACCTGTTTCATAGACGGAAACCTAAAATCATGCTTGGTGAGCGGTCAAAGAGATGCTTAAGACTAATCCAGATTTGCTATCACCAAATTCTGAGGCAAAATAATGCTCACTGAATTTGAGGGTTTTCATATCAAGCCTAGCACAAGTCTCTTGATCAAAGGCCTTCTGATTGACTGCAATGTTTTCACCACCACAATGGCTTAAAATTCAGAGCCAATCTACCCTTGATGCAAAACAAAATGGTAGACCAAACCGCAGAATTCTGGACCGCTCAGCTTTAGGTTAAAACTGGAGAGGGCACATTTTTAATGTTCCCTGCATGGAGAAATCTAGCACAGCAGGGAGAAAGGTTTCATGCGTCCCTCTCCCTGACTTGCTACTTTATATACTGAAGTGAGATGGTTGGTGTGTGTGCGTGTTTTAAAAAATAAATCTCATGAGGAGCATCTGAATATATGAGTCACCACTTGAGAAGCGCATAATTCAGAGGACTGCTCATTCTATCTCTCTACAGACAGAGCAACCAAAATGGCAAGGACCCACTGCCCCAGATCCTCTATCTGACCCCAACCATGGACCAGTATGTTTCTCCCATTCTTCCTTCCATCCCAATTTCCCATTTGGTACCAGCAATCTGTCACAGCTCTCTAAGCCCTAGAGTCTGTTTATCTTTCAAGATACAATACAGACTTCTCTGTTTGTTTTCCAAAGTCATTACTTTCCAGAATGGAGATAAGGATGTGTGCAGAGTTTGGGAGTGGGGGAGGCTTTTGTGAACTTAGCATCGCTGGCTCTGCTCAAAAGATATCTGGAACAGAGGGGGAAGAAAAGAAAAACAGGACCAGAATCCAGGGTTCTGAGGTCAAGATGAGACTTCACTGTAATGACATGGCAACATTATTATTATTATTATTATTATTATTATTATTATTATTAGCCACCCATCTGACTGGGTTGCCCCAACCACTCTGGGTGGCTCCCAACAAAATATTAAAGCCCATGTGCTAGTAAACTTGAGGCTGGATTACTGCAGTGCTTTCTACGTTGGGCTGCCCTTGGGACCCATTTGGAAGTTCCAGCTGGTGTAGAATATAGGTGCCAGATTGCTGGTGGGAACATCTACTCAATAGCACAGGACATTCTTAATGCCTCTGTACTGGCTGCCCATCTACTACAGAGCTAGGTTTGAGTTCCTTGTACAGTGGTACCTTGGTTTTCAAATGTAATCTGTTCTGGAAGTCCATTCGACTTCTGAAACATTCAAAAACCAAGGTGCGTCTTCCGATTGGTGCAGGCGCCCTGGAAACAATAGCCGACAGCCACATCGGACATTTGGCTTCCAAAAAACGTTCAAAGACCGGAACACTTACTTCCAGGTTTTTGGCATTTGGGAGCCAAAATGTTCGAGTACCAAGGCGTTCGAGAACCAAGGTTCCACTGTATTAATTTATGAAGCCCTGAACAACTTAGGTCCAAGGTACCCTAAGGATATCCTGAACCCTTCTATCCCAGCTTTGCTCGCTAAAATCACTTTGGGAGTGTTGCTGGTCATTCCCCAAGTCTTGTTAAAAGGTGACATGAAATAAGTTTATCAAATTAAGCCTGGCATGGAGAAAGGGGATACAGAGAGGTTTCCCTTCCTCTCTCACTAGAACTTTTGGACATGCAATGAACTGAATGATTCCGGATAGATGAAAGAGATTTCCAACCGTTTCCCAGTCCCGATTTAGCAGCCCTCAGTAGCAAGCAACTGGCCGGGAGTGGCAATTTCCTCCTCAATAAATATCCAAGCCGGCCGTTAATTAAAAGCTTTCGATGCTGATCTCATCAGCCCACCTCAGCACTCCCTGCAGACGGCTCATACATTTTAATGGGAGGTGCCTGCCACTCTGCGTTTGTTCAGAGAGAGAAGTGGACTCCATGAAATCTTTGGGCTGCAAAGCGTGGGAAGGTGGATTCTCCTACCACCACGATCTCTTGGCTGCTGCACAAGAACTGGAGAGATCAGCACTCTGGTTTTCCCAAGTGGCCTTGCCTTGTAATGGCTAGGCTGGAGTCCAGCTGAAAGTGGTTCTTAGCTGGGGCTGCTGCTGTTTGCTGCCTCCCAGTACAGACAGATAATAATAATAATAATAATAATAATAATAATAATAATTTATTATTTATACCCCGCCCATCTGGCTGAGTTTCCCCAGCCACTCTGGGCGGCTCCCAATCAAGTGTTAAAAACAGTACAGCGTTAAATATTAAAAACTTCCCTGAACAGGGCTGCCTTCAGATGTCTTTTGAAGGTAGGATAGCTGCTTATTTCCTTCACATCTGAAGGAAGGGTGTTCCACAGGGTGGGCGCCACTACCAAGAAGGCCCTCTGTCTGGTTCCCTGTAACCTCACTTCTCGCAATGAGGGAACTCCCAGAAGGCCCTCGGCGCAGGATCTCAGTGTCCGGGCTGAACAATGGGGGTGGAGATGCTCCTTCAGGTATACAGGACCGAGATCATTTTTGCAGGTGTTCAATTGTAAGTCCACCTCATCCTGTTCCTGCATCATTCTGTGTTGGGTCTGCGAAAAAGTCCTCAGTGCATAGCACAAGGATGGAAGAATGAGGAAATCCCAACAAAATAACAGTGGCAAGAGAAATTGATGACTTATGCAGAACTGGCTAAACTGACATACAAATTGCGAGACAAGGACAACTGTGACTTGAAGGAAGAATGGGAGCTTTTTACAAATTATTTAAAAAGACAACAAAATGAACTGGACTCCTTGGGAGGGTTTGAATAAACACACACAAATTTATTGGTTGATAACATGATAGATAATGTAAGGAAATGTACAAGTTTATAACATGCCGAGAACAACATGTGCTGAGAAATCAGAGAGAGGAGCTGAGGGAAGTCTTGGGGGGGGGGGTTGGATGGGGGGATGGGGGAAAAGGGGAGAAAAGATGAATATGATATGTTGTGAAAATGTGGTTTTGTAGGAATTGTTAATAAAAAGAAAAAAGAAAAAGTCCTCAGGGCAAAAACAGCCACAAAGAGGGAGAGGAAAGGAGGCTTGTTGTTGTTGTTTAGTCGTTTAGTCGTGTCCAACTCTTTGTGACCCCCTGGACCAGAGTACGCCAGGCACTCCTGTCTTCCACTGCCTCCTGCAGTTTGGTCAAACTCATGCTGGTAGCTTCGAGAACACTGCCCAACCATCTCGTCCTCTGCCGTCCCCTTCTCCTTGTGCCCTCCATCTTTCCCAACATCAGCGTCTTTTCCAGGGAGTCTTCTCTTCTCATGAGGTGGCCAAAGTATTGGAGCCTCAGCTTCACGATATGTCCTTCCAGCCACAAAGAGGGAGAGGAGAGGAGGCAGGTGTATATTTTTGCTCCCTACACACATCCCTTTGATTCAGCAATACCAGGCACGCCCTTGGAAAGGAACATCTTTCATTCCAGTATGTTCTGTACCTCAGAAGAACACTTGATGGAGAGTTCAGGCTTTTCTTCTGCCGCTCTAGAGGGAAGGACCCGAAACCAACGGATTTAAACAGCCAGAAAGGAGAGTCTGACTAAACATTCGGAAGAACTTTTCTGGCAACGAGAGCCGTTCAAGAGGGGAATGGGCTCCCTTAGAAGGTGGTGGGCTCTTCTTCCTTGGAGGCCTTTAAGCAGAAGTTGGATGGCCATCTGTCAGGGGTGCTTTAGCTGAGATCCCTGTGTTGCAGGCGGGTTGGGCTAGATGAGCCTTGAGGTCCCTTCCATGATTCTGTGGTTTCCTCCAGGCAGCTGTGCCACACATTTGTAAACTGCCGGCATCCACCAAGCACTTTCCAAGCCCCGACTTGCCAGCTGGAAAGATAGAGGGTGACAAAACGTTGTTTCATGCTTCCCTTGATAAATGCCAGAGAGGGCTTTGCACACTGGCATGCACACAGATGGAGAGAGAAATCTCCTTCCCCCACTCCGCTGCTCCTATCTCTGGAGATTTCCAATCAGGAAAGGCTCTGTTTTTCACCTGATGTGTGGGTCGCGTTGCACACAGATTCAACTCCAAGCCTTCCCTCTGTAAGTCTGTGTTAGGCTGCTTCTCCAGGGACAGAGGGCGGTCGCGGAAGGAGGCAAAGGTGGCTTGATGCTGACAGGTGTATCCAAGATGGGGCAACAGAGGAATGGAAAGGGACAGGGAATGCTGTGTCTAGAGCACAGACTGAGCCAATATATTGAGGTGTAGTGGTTACAGCATCAGACCTCGACCTGGGAGAGACCTGGGTTCAAATTCCAACTTGCGCACGAAGCTCACAGAGTGACCATGGTCCAGTCACAGCCTCTCTGCCTAACCTACCCCAGAGGGTTGTTGTGGAGATTTCATGAGGAGGGGTAGAACCATGTACAGTGGTACCTCAGGTTAAGTACTTAATTCGTTCCAGAGGTCCGTTCTTAACCTGAAACTGTTCTTAACCTGAAGTACCACTTTAGCTAATGGGGCCTCCCACTGCTGATGTACCGCCAGAGCACAATTTCTGTTCTCGTCCTGAAGCAAAGTTCTTAACCCAAAGTACTATTTCTGGGTTAATGGAGTCTGTAACCTGAAGCTATGTAACCTGAAGCGCATGTAACCCGAGGTACCACTGTATTTGAAGATGTCTATCACATCACCTCTTGGGGCTTATCCACGTTTACCTACCTTTATGCTTTCCTTGCACTGTTCACACTTTCCCCATGAAAACCCACTCTCTAAAGCTGAACTGGAGCAAATGGCAATCCTCCGAAAACCCAAATTGTCATTTGTTGCACATCAGCTTTAAAGAGCAGGTTTTTGCAAGGAGAGCTCTGGGGTGCAGACATGGAGCTTTAAAGTCAAACATGGAGCTTTAGAGTAAGGACCTGTGCCTGGAAAGAGCAGGGCAAAAGTTAAGGGTGGCTAAGCCCTCAGACTTCTGTAGGCGAAATGTGAGCTGTTGGGTGGCAGTGGTGGTGGTGCAAAGTCTGGTGTTTGAGATGCACTCTTTCCATGCATGGGAATCTGTTTGCTCCATTGCATGTCTCTGAGCTTCAGTTGCTAAAGGCAGACCTTTAGAAGGTGGCAGATCGAAGGCAGATCTTTGGCACTGTACTCTATGCAGAAACCAGCAGGTTTTTTTTTATTGGCCTCTTTTACCATCTGCGGAGTGGAAGCAATGCTAAAATTAATAGCAGCCAATATAGCAAAATGACAGAAGATGAAGGGAATGTCAGAAACCCCTGGAGCAGGCTGGGCTCCTTCTTTGCTCTTATCCACTGTCTGCAGTGAGTGTTCAAAAAAAAGTCTTCGCTAAGGACATCTCCTGCAGAATCAAGCTGAGAATGCATCCAATGGGGGGAAATAAATCCCTGATGATTCTTATATTGCCCACTGCTCAGGAAATAAGTCTTGTGCTGGAATTGGAGAACACGCTGAGTTCATTTTCACAGATGATCTGGTTCTGGTTGTCCTTTCATGTGGGGGTGTCCACCCTTGTTCAGCTTTCTCTGTGGATGTCGGGACAAACTGTTCTGGTTCCATGATGATCTAAGCCAGGACTGAGGAACTTGTGGACCTCCAGATGTTAAAAACAAAATAAAATTACACATCACTTGGGAAGACAGGCAAACTAATGCCAGTGTACTGGAAGAAGCAAAGATCACCAGCATCGAAGCAATGATTTTTCAGCATCAGTTTCGTTGGACTGTTGTGTGCGTGCCTGATCATCGTCTTCCAAAGCAACTGCTCTATTCCGAACTTAAAAACGGAAAGCGTAATGCTGGTGGTCAACAAAAGAGGTTTAAAGACTCTCCCGAGGCAAATCTTTAAAAATGTAGGATAAACACCGACAACTGGGGAACACTGGCCTGCGAGCGCTCCAGTCGGAGAACAGCCTTTACCAAAGGTATAATGGGCTTTGAAGATGCTCAAACTCAGAACGCAAGGGAGAAATGTGCTAAGAGGAAGGCACGCTTGGCAAATCCACACCGTGATCAACTCCCTCCTGGAAACATATGTCCCCACTGTGGAAGGACATGTGGATCCAGAATTGGCCTCCAAAGTCACTTACGGACTCACTGTTAAAACTGTGTTGATGGAAGACAATCTTACTACAAGTGATCGCAGAAGAAGAAGAAGAAGAAGAAGAAGAAGAAGAAGAAGAAGAAGAAGCCTTACAGCTCCCTTCATCCCTCACCATTGGCTATGCTGCCTGGGGCTGATGGGTTCCAGCAAGATTAGGAGGACCAGAGTTTTTCCTGCAGTCTAAATACAGGATGAACAGGTGTCTCAGGTTCAGCACTGGGAATCCCCTTCCCCCCAAAAAAACCTCCCAACAACTACTAATGAAGAGTTGATGTCCTTGTGAATTAACTATTTCTAGAGTCAACTTGACGCAGGTGGCGCTGTGGGTTAAACCACAGAGCCTAGGGCTTGCCAATCAGAAGGTCGGCAGTTCGAATCCCTGCAATGGGGTGAGCTCCTGTTGCTCTGTTCCTGCTCCTGCCAACCTAGCAGTTCGGAAGCACGTCAAAGTGCAAGTAGATAAATAGGTACCACTCCGGCGGGAAGGTAAATGGCGTTTCCATGTGCTGCCCTGGTTCGCCAGAAGCGGCTTAGTCATGCTGGCCATATGACCCGGAAGCTGTAAGCCGGCTCCCTCGGCCAATAAAGCAAGATGAGCGCCGCAACCCCAGAGTTGTCCGTGACTGGACCTAACAGTCAGAGTTCCCTTTACCTTTACCTAGAGTCAACTTGGCTGCAGAATTTGGGGCACGTTGATGCAGAGTTTTTGGGACTACTATCTGCCATTGGAAGAAAAGGGCCTTTTCTGCCATGATCTTTCTGTTAACTGCCTGCTCAGTACAAATGCAGCACACATTTTGAGTAGGTGGCCGAGAGGAGAAGGAGGACACACAAAAAGTCACAGATGTTCTTCATCCCAAAAATCTTGTGTCCCCTCCCCCCCCCTTTGCCTAGCCTGCAAAAGGCTTGGCATGTGGAGAAGCTGGACCCTGGATCCATCCTGGGACAGTTACGGAGCCAAAAGCATTTCCTTGGAGCAGCAAACGGACCCCAGTTAACAAACAGCTGCAACAGTCTCCACAGCTGGTTTGGACATATTGACCTTTAGAGAATAGACCCAGCCAGCCCTGATCACTTCTCTTGCTCCACACTGATGACCAATGATGCACTCTTGCACCAAAAAGCCTTTAAATTTACAGATGGGGTAGACCTGACCTCTGTTTTATAGACCAGCCAGCATCACCTTCCAAGAAGGGAAACCATCAAATAACATGAGTGCCACTCTCTGGTTTCCATCTCACTGTGGTTTCCATCTCCCCCGATTTCTGTGCTGTATAGGGACTGCCCATTAGCATCAGCCTGGCATCCACAATGGCTGATGATGCCCAGAGCCAGGGTGAGGGCAGCTCCCAGAACCAGTTCAAGACTAATGTTCTTCTGTTCCATCATCTTAAGTCTCCCACAGCAAGTGCTAGTCACTGACTTCCTGAATATTGTGTTCCTAACATGCCCATTATTCTGACCAGCCAGGTGTTCCATACTGAAAGCCTGCCATCCCTTAGGATGTTTGACGTTGCTACATAGAGAGTTAAGGATCAGACTCTTTGAGGCTGAAGCCGTTCATTTTTAAAGAAAGCTACAATCAAGCTGCCTTCTACCAACTCTGACCATTGCCCTATTTTGGCCAGTATTACCTGCACTGACTGGCAGCGGGTGTCCAGGGTCTCAGGCACAGAGAGGCCTTTCCCATGACCTGCTTCTGGGTCCTCTTTAATGGGAGATGCCAGGATTTGAAACTGGAACCTTCAGCACATAAAGCAGGTTGTCATGGCCCCAGATCAGGACTCTGGAGGCAGAGTTCTCCAGCAATTCCTCTTTAGAGGAGGAAGAGATGAGTCCACTTCCTAATTTGCCGCATATAGGTCTGGGGGCTCCAGAAGCCCGCTTCCTTCCCTTCAGCCCCAATGAGACACCTCTGCTACCAGACTCTTGGGAGACCAAGAAAGTCCCAGGAAGAGATTTCCACAGCTGAAAACACCATTACCATTACTTCAAGGGAACCAGTGGCTGTGAAAGAAAACACCAGTTCTTTAACTTGCCAGGGGGATTTTTTTAAGTGGTGAGGCCTCCATACTTAGCCCTGCTATAAAACCCAGGTCTTGCTGAGGCAACTTGTATGCCTGACCTCAACTGCAAGAGTGCTATCCATGGTGCTGAATGTCCACTCTTCTTGCCTTCCAAGAAGTTGACCCATCACTTTCCTTGGCCCATCACCCCTTTGCAGTGGTGGGCATCCTTGCAGACCATTGCACAGCTGCTCTGCCCCCAGCTATGGTCCTACCCCGCTTGAAAGTGGTTTGAGAGGAGGCATCACTTCCTATAGGACGCGGGTGGTGCTGGGGTTAAACCACAGAGCCTAGGACTTGCCGATCAGAAGGTTGGCGGTTCGAATCCCCGTGACGGGGTGAGCTCCCATTGCTCAGTCCCTGCTAACCTAGCAGTTCTAAAGCATGTCAAAGTGCAAGTAGATAAATAGGTACCACTCCAGCGGGAAGGTAAACGGCGTTTCCGTGCGCTGCTCTGGTTTGCCAGAAGCGGCTTAGTCATGCTGGCCACATGACCCGGAAGCTGTACGCCGGCTCCCTCGGCCAATAAAGCGAGATGAGCGCCGCAACCCCAGAGTCGGCCACGACTGGACCTAATGGTCAGGGGTCCCTTTACCTTTACCTTATAGGGTTGTGGGTCAGGCTGGATGATGCCTGGGTCCTTTCCAAGCCAATCCAGAAATGTTTCGAATCCAGCAGAAGAGGCTGCCAAACCAGTCATACCAGTTCCTTTGTTAAGGTAATGGCTTTGGCTGGCCAGTTAAGTTCTGCCATTTACTATATCCAAAGAGGCTGCTCTGTTGCCATAGAGACAAATGGGTGGGCCTTTTCCCGCCTCACCTGGCGGGATGCCAAGTCATCCTAAGAAAGGAGCCAGAAAGGAGTTCTGCGTGTTTATGAGAGAGTTTTGGCTGATTCTGGATGCTGGGGAGACAGAGGCATGTCTTGCTGTGTGCTAGACCCAAAGCTATGGCTTGGGGCTCCCCTGGAAAATTAATGGGGAGATAAGAGCTCTTGCTGTGTGAATGCTGTACTCTTATGTTCAGGTTGTATATATATGCAAAAAATAATAAAGCTTATTTTCTCCTGCTCTGGAGGGTAGGACTCAAACAATGGCTTCAAGTTGCAAGAAAGGAGATTACGACTAAACATCAGGAATAACTTTCTGACAGTAAAAGCTGTTTAACAGTAGAATAGTCTCCCATGGGAGGTTGCAGACTCCTTTTTCGGAGGTTTTTAAGCAGAGGTTGGGTGGCCACCTGCTCTGGATGCTTTAGCTGAGATTCCTGCATTGGACTAGATGAGTCGAACTCTACAATTCTATGGTTCTATGTTCTGACGATGTGACTTTTGCTGTCATTGTGATATTCAGATTATTTTCCAGCTGCTGTTTGGTTAACAGGGTTTTATAGATTGCAACTGCTTTATCAATGACTTGTTAACTATTCCGCACGATTTATGCTGCATTTCTGATGTTGATGTTGTTTATTGTTTGTAAGCCGCCTTGAGATTCATTTGAACGAAAAGCAGCAGAAAAATGCAATAAAATAATATCAATCAAACCAGTGACCTTCATTCCAATAGACACTAATCTCTAGGAAACCCTGGAGTTGCGCGACACTTGGCAACTGGGCGCACGCGAAAATACATTTCTTTCATCCCACTGTCTCCTTCCATCGAGGCTTCGGAAACACTTTAAAAGTCAGGCAGACCTGTTTACCAGAGTATCAAAAGCAGGAAGAGTATTCACACCGCAAGTGGCAATCCCTCTTTCAAACCGTCTCCAGCTCTCTTGACAAAATGGGCTTACTCTTTTGCGCAAGCCTTGACCCCCACAAAAGCCGTTAAAAACGCACAGCTGGTTGAAAACCAGGCTCCTTCCAACACGTTCTTCCTCCATGTGTGTCTAAATCCTCCAGAGTCACAGGGATGAAATCCGAACACAACATGTTGATGTTAAATGAGGAAACTCTCGTTTCCTCAATACCAGAGCCCTGATGAAAACGCTCCCTGAGAAATCTGCAAGAGGGAACTATGAACAGATGTCCTTTTAACTACGAAAACAAGGAGAGAATTGAAATCATCGAGGCTGCCAACCTTCCACAAATCTCTACACTTCCTTCATTTCCCCCCCTCCATTTCTTTTGCTTTCCTGGTCTAACCATTGCAAATACATTGTTTTCACTTCTGCAAAAGAAAATCCCCACAAGCAATTTTTTTTTTTTTTTTGCTTCCTTCTTTCTTTCTTAACCTTTCCATCCCTTCACACTGAAATGTGAGGAGTCTTTTGTATTGCACAAAAGAAAAAAAGTCCTGACCTTACAGAAATTGGACTTTCACCAGGAAATAGCAGGGGGATTTCAGTAAGTCACGCCAAACCTCGCCTCAGTTTCGCTGTCTTTAGAGGGGGACTTTGAAGGAAATCTTTCAGAATAAATCCTGATAAAAAGAAAGAGATGTTGTGGGCAGGTGGTTAACCTGTCTGGGAATTAGCTAAACAGCCTGTTCCATAATGCGTCACACTCTCCTCGAAGGAGCAAATTTGTAGCCTGGACTGAGACAGCCTTGCCATAGCCTAGTAGCCTTCTAACTAGATTACTGTAATCCAATTTACATGGGGCTGCCCTTGAAGACAGTATTGCTAATCAGCTTTGCAAGGTCTACTGTGCCCTCTGTTGGAAGACAGAGGAGAAATGTGACCTTGTTAATTCTCCTTGACCTCTCAGCGGCTTTCGATACCATCAGCCATGTGATCCTTCTGGAGTGGCTGTCCGAGTTAAGGGTGCAGGGCCGGATTTAGGTTTGATGAGACCCTAAGCTACTGAACGTAATGGGGCCCTTTATATGTCCAGCTGTCCTTTGTCAACAACAAATGGTTGCTGGTTTTTGTGTGTTGAATATATGCTATATGGTAATTTATGGACCTAATAGGTATCTAAAGCCATTTGCACATGTTGCCACGCAACCCATCCATGCAGAATTTAGGCACCCTATATATAGAAATGGGCAAACCAGTGATATTTTTGGGAGCAGGCTAGCAGATGGGGCCCATTACTTACATCATAGGAGCCTACACAACACAAAACACTGTTGCTGCATGTAGGTTTTATTTTATTTATTTTTTAACTTATATTTTGGAAATGTACATCCAGGTTTGTTTTTTCTTTAAACTTTTTTGGGGCCCCCAAGAAAGTGGGGCCCTAAATGATAGCTTGTTTAGCTTATATGTAAATCCGGTACTGTAAGGGTGGGTAGCACCGCACCACTTTGCAGCGATTCTGGTCCTACTTGGGTGGTTGTTTCCAGAGGGTGACGCTTGGGGAGTGTTATTCCACTCAATGGAGACTTCAGGGTTTGATTTTATTCCCTGTCAAATCCCTAAGCCTAACATCTACATGAAACGACTGAATGGGGTTATCCAGAGTTTTGGAGTATGTTTAGGGAAGTTTTTAATATTTAATGCTGTATTGTTTTTAACACTCGATTGTGAGCCGCCCAGAGTGGCTGGGGAAACTCAGCCAGATGGGAGGGGTATAAATAATTTATTATTATTATTATTATTATTATTATTATTATTATTTTGTAAGTAATATGCTGATGGGACATGGGTGGCGCTGTGGGTTAAACCACAGAGCCTAGGGCTTGCCAATCAGAAGGTCGGTGGTTCAAATCCCCACGACGGGGTGAGCTCCTGTTGCTCGGTCCCTGCTCCTGCCATCGAAGTGCAAGTAGATAAATAGGTACTGCTCCAGCAGGAAGGTAAACGGCATTTCCGTGCACTGCTCTGGTTCGCCAGAAGCGGCTTAGTCATGCTGGCCACATGACCCGGAAGCTGTACGCCGGCTCCCTCGGCCAATAAAGCGAGATGAGCGCCGCAATCCCAGAGTCGGCCACGACTGGAGCTAATGGTCAGGGGTCCCTTTACCTTTACCTTTAATATGCTGATGACCCACAGCGGGGGGTTGGGAGGCCTTGGGAATGCCCCACTTACCATCCCTACAAGTGGCTTCTCAATGGCCAGGAACTTCCGATACAAAGTTCTCAAAGACTTCTCAACAAGAGAAAGACATTCCAGATAAAATGGGGCGGCAGCAGACCAGAAACTAAGGGGCAGTCAACAAAACTTCTTTTTCTTTCATTTTTAACGAAGAAAGTGAATTTGTACATAACTGTAGTGAGTTTTAGGAAATAGTCCTCCCTTGCGACACTAGGGATGGAGCAGAAATTTGTTCAGAAATTTGCATCCTAACACAAAGTGACCTAATTCAAACTTCCCAAACCAACTCGCAAACCGAAAGGCAGCCATACGCTTCTCCAAATTTTGCAATGCAGTTCTCTAAACAAAAACAAAAAAAAGTGTACGGAATTTAAATCTGTTCCCACACACCTCTTTCTTTCCACCAACTTCCCATTTTTCATATGCACGTCTTTCGTATTGGCTTATATTAACATAATTTCTAACATTCACATCTCAATTTATTTTCAGTTTTTCATTACACTCCCGCCCTGTGCCTCCAAAAAAAACTTTGAGACAATATGGAAGTATTTATCTGAGCATCTTTATTTTTTTTTGTAAGAATCGTATTAAGAAAAAATTGCTTGCAATATTAAGCAAATTGCATTAAAAATATTAGTAGAAATGTTCATGAATATTCGTACACATTTTTGTGCAGACAAACTTAATACGGGAGAAATTATTAAGACTAAACTTAATACAGGAGAAATGAGAACTTAATATGGGAGAAATAAGACACTGAGAGATACCAAAACAGACATTTTCATCCACACTACTTTTAAATCAAAATATCTAATTGGGCAAACATTCAGTTCAAGCTCATGGAAGCTTTTGATATTTGAAGGACCTTTTCGTAAGGGGAAACGGTTATGTGGGAGAGATGAAGAACTAATTTAGGAGTGCAAAGCATTATTTAAAGGGGTAAGCTGCAGTTGTGGTGATTTTGGATCACAAGCCATCTGACTTAAGTGAAGGGATCCGGTTACATATTCCCGTCCCCCTCGTCCCCCCCAAAAAAGAGAAAAAGAAAACCACTCTTCTTCTCAGCCAAAGTGCTGAGAAATAACTTCAACCAAGAATATAAAAAAGAAATATTTTCAAATATCTAAAGGGCTGTCACATGGAAGATGAAGCAAGCTTGTTTTTGTGCTACTCCAGAGGCAAGGACCTGAACCGATAGATTCAAGAAAGACGATTCCAATGAAACATTGGGAAGAACTTTCGGAGGGTAAGAACTAATCGACAGTGGAATGGACTTTGGAGATTTCTTCCTCCTTGGAGGTTTTTAAACAGAGGTAAGGGGTTTTTTTAAGCTCTGTTACCTGCTCTAGATGACCCTTCCAGCTCAACAATTCCATGATTCTGTGAAATTTGACAGTAGAGAGTCCTTGGATGGGTCCATCAGTCAATGCCAAAGGGACCAGGAATGAGAGGGTTGGATCTAGAAGTGATAGCATTGCCTACTAAGATGCTTTGCACACTGGGCTAGGACCTTTGGACCATGTGACCTAGCATCGTCTTCTGCGGGTCAAAACAGTTCTTCAAAATCCTCCTCCTATTAGTTATAAAGGTAAAGGGACCCCTGACCATTAGGTCCAGTCGTGACCGACTCTGGGGTTGCAGCGCTCATCTCGCTTTACTGGCCGAGGGAGCCGGCGTACAGCTTCCGTGTCATGTGGCCAGCATGACCAAGCCGTGTCTGGCAAACCAGCGCAGCACACGGAAACGCCGTTTACCTTCCCACCGGAGTGGTACCTATTTATCTACTTGCACTTTGACGTGCTTTCGAACTGCTAGGTTGGCAGGAGCAGGGACCGAGCAACGGGAGCTCACCCCGTTGTGGGGATTTGAACCGCCGACCTTCTGATCAGCAAGTCCTAGGCTCTGTGGTTTAGTTATACATAACAGTATATACTTTTTGATGCATGTCATTGTTAGATTTTCGACTGAATGTGTGTTTTTTTTGTAAGTTATTCGACATCCCTAGATGAAAGTGTGATCATAAAGAATGGGGGGGGAATAAAAATAAAAATAAAATAAAATAAAAAACAGTTCTTCAACATCCCCAAGGAAATGGACTTTCCTAGCACTGCTCTCTGAGATTTCTGCCATAAATGCCAAAGGATTGAACTCATATACAAAGCACATGTCTTGCCCCAAGCTATCCTCTCTTCTGATAGTGGCAGCCTTGGCCTGAGATTTGAAGGGCTGTTGGCCATGCTGTTCTCAGTGAGATCCCTTGAACCCCTGAGAGGCAGGGGATGGAAATGGAAAATCATTTCCTGCTTTGTCTAAACGTCTTAGGTGCTTCAGGCAAAGTGGGAATGCAAAGTTGGAATGCTGAAATACCGGGGGGGGCATATTGGGACACCAACAAATGCCCAATGTTACCATTTTCTATAGCAGGGGTCAGCAAGGCATACCGGGCATGGGCCGGATCACTCCCACGGAGATACTCCATGGGTTGGGCCGGTGAACCGCGAAGCTGGAAATTGTGTCTGCTTATGTCCGCGGCACCGGAAATCGCTTCTGTGCATGCCCAGACGCCGAAAATCATGTCTGTGCAGAAGCGATTTCCAGCGTCTGGGTATGTAATAATAATAATAATAATAATAATAATAATAATAATTTATTATTCATACCCTGCCCATCTAGCTGGGTTTCCCTAGCCACTCTGGGCAGCTTCCAACAAAACAGTAAAATACAATAACCTATTAAACTTTAAAAGCTTCCCTAAACAGGGCTGCCTTCAGATGTCTTCTAGAAGTTTGGTAATTAATTTTCTCTTTGACATCTGGTGGGAGGGCATTCCACAGGGCGGGCGCCACCACCGAGAAGGCCCTCTGCCTGGTTCCCTGTAACTTGGCTTCTCGCAGCGAGGGAACCGCCAGAAGGCCCTTGGAGCTGGACCTCAGTGTCCGGGCTGAACGATGGGAGTGGAGACGCTCCTTCAGGTATACAGGACCGAGGCCGTTTAGGGCTTTAAAGGTCAGCACCAACACTTTGAATTGTGCTCGGAAATGTACTGGGAGCCAGTGTAGGTCTCTATGTAAGCAATTTCCGGAGCCGCGGAAGAGAGTCCCTTCCACTGGTTTAGTGCAGCGCGCAGGGACTCGTCAAGTGGGCGGCTCAGTTCGGGAACAGCTCAGGGGCCGGTTAAACGGCTGCTATGGGCCGCTTCTGGCCCATGGGCCACAGGTTGGGGACCCTTTTCTTTCCCTTTAGGACACCAACCCCAAATCTCTAGCTCCTGTGAGGCCACCAGGATCAGGATCAGGCCAGCCCATCATCACATGAATCCTAGAATAGATGGAGGTGAGATGGAAAATCAGCTTACCTACAGTGAGGAAAATGCCAGTCTCCTGGGTCCACCCTTCAGAGAAATTGATCCTGGGCTGTATCAACAGCTGCTCAGAGTTGGCCAACTGCGTTTGAATGAAACCAGCATTTCTTATGAGGACTGCTGAAGTGCCCTCCGCTGGTACTGGCATCTCAGTGAGGAAGTGGCTTTATTATTCTAAGAAATTGTGGTGAAGTCTTCCTTCCACAGCTGTCATGCAAAGTCAGCTGCATCAGCCATCGCAGGGATGTCGCCTCGCTTCTCCAAAAAGAGGCTATGGTCAGCATCTTTGCTGCAAGTGGCAAGTTCTGGCCTCGTCGGGCAGCAAGCAGGGTTCTTTGGGTCACCAACCAGTTGTCCACACCAGAAGACACAGCCAATGTTTACACTGGGCGGGGGATTTAGGGCACAATATTCAATTTTCAGACTGGGAAAGGTTATGGGAAATTGATTTGAAATTCTCGGCATGTTGTATGTTGACCTAATGGTCAGGGGTCCCTTTACCTTTACTTTAAGTTAGCTAAAATGTATAAGACAAGTACAAATACCTGCTGGAAATGTAAAGAAAATATGCTGCCGCCGGAGCACGATTTCTGTTCTCATCCTGAAGCAAAGTTCTTAACCTGAAGCACTATTTCTGGGTTAGCGGAGTCTGTAACCTGAAGCATATGTAACCTGAGGTACCACTGTATATAGAAACATAATAAAACATTAAACACGAAGGAAAAAAACTTCCCTCTACAGGGCTGCGTTCAGATGTCTTCTAAAGGTTGTATAGTTACTTATCTCCTTGGCTCGGGGGTCTCATAACTCCATACCCTCCAACATTTATCCAATGAAAATAGGGATGTCCTATGGAAAAGGTGGGAAATTCTGGGATCAAATCAGAAACCAGGACGGCTTCTGTAAATCTGGAACGGCCTCTGGAAAATAGCAACACTTGAAAGGTCTGCAAAAGTATGTATATTAGGAGGGAATCTGTTATGTACTGAGTTGAATAGGATCCAAAAGGCAGCAGTCTGATTGGTCCTAGAACAATAGGGTCCAGAATGCAACAGTCTGATTGGTCCTAGCACAATAGGGTCCAGAATGCAGCAGTCTGATTGGTCCACAGGAGCTACCCAATCCAGCTCCAGGTGGAAGTGAATCCGCAACCTGATTGGCCTACAGGTGAATCCCGTAATTAGCCAATCAGGTGGGGCGCATTGTGTAAATAATGTGCAGTGGTACCTCGGGTTACATACGCTTCAGGTTACAGACGCTTCAGGTTACAGACTCCGCTAACCCAGAAATAGTACCTCGGGTTAAGAACTTTGCTTCAGGATGAGAACAGAAATCGTGCTCCGGCGCCACAGCGGCAGCAGGATGCCCCGTTAGCTAAAGTGGTACCTCAGGTTAAGAACAGTTTCAGGTTAAGAACGGACCTCCAGAACGAATCAAGTACTTAACCCGAGGTACCACTGTATATAAAGCAGACATTCTGGGGGAACTTCCATTCCTCCTCACCACTATGAGCTGCATGAAGAGTATATTTCAGATTCACACTAAAACGCTGGTGAGATTTCCTGAGGACTTTGAGAAGAAGCGGAGGGGGAACGATTCACAACCTGATGTGGAGAGCTGAACTTAAGGCTGGGGAAATGAGAAACTGCATCTGGCAGAGTCACCCCTCCCTACACAGCAGCCAGAGGCTCTGGAGAGTGGCTGCTAGTCTGAGTAAATCCTGGGCTGCGTAGGAAACAGGCTGGCCTGATAGAAGGCCGGCTTCCTGCGTTCTCTCTGCGACAAGGCTGACTCTGGTGCCAGCATTTGAGAAACCCACCAGATGCACAACCAATGCTTTCCGCTTTGTCCAACCAATGACGACTACAGGATGCTAGAAACCTCCAGGAATAGAAACTTTTCCTTTTCCTTTTTTTGCTGAAGAATGTCGTGAGTCATGCACGAGGATGGATTTGGGGCAGTTAATGTCTGAGATCCTGGACAGACACAGCAAGACAGCAGAAAATACGGAGCAAGGTGGACCAATAGCCTCTTTCGATATAACACCACTCCCTCTGTTCTTATGGCAACGGCTTTCCAGCATCTTGACATCTCCCTCTGCCATAGCTGTCAACTTACAGATTTGAAAATAAGGGACCAGCAGCCTTGAAAATAAGGGACCAGCAGCCCAAGTAAGGGATTTTAGTCAACCAGCTGAAATACGAAGTTAAAAGGGACCAGGTAATTTTGGAGAGCAGCGCCGGTTTTTAGCCCTTCGTTTCCAGAGGTTGCTGCTCAAGACACCAGCCGATGAAACGCTGCAATTAAATAACTACAAGCAGCAACCACTTTTCGCGCAAAATGAAGCCCAAGCTACGAAGATGCTGCTGCAGTTCTGTATCTTTTCTCTCGTGCTCCATCTGCAGCTCTCAATTCCATCAGGCGGGGCGGGAGGAGGGGGGAAATAGCGCCCGAAGCAAACCCTCAGATCAGACCATCTATGCTAGTCTACCACTACAAATCTATGGGAGAAGCGCTTGCGATCCTTCCCTTGTAGCCCTTGGAACACCTGCCCGCGCCTCCGCCTCCTCCTCTTCCTCCTCTCTCTGAACTGCTTTCTCTATGGTTGCCCTCGCTCTCCTCTCAAGGCTCCTCAGCTGCCCATCTTATCCGGGTCCTTCGGCGCCACAGCCGCAGTATGGCCTAGCGGAAGCGGGAGCAGCGGCGACGGGCAGAGGGGAAGCCCCAGGCAGAGACGCTCGGTTCGGCGGCCGCGAGGAGGATGGCGGCAGAAGGGCCCGAGGCTCCCGCCAGTCCCGGTGGGGAGGGGCTCCCAGGGGCTGAGGCTGGTGAGAGGAGGCCGGAAGGGGGCGGGCTGGGCAGCCAAACAACACAGTTGGAGCCTCCCTCCTCCCTGGCCGGCAGGGAGGGAGGGAGAGGAGCTGCTTCCTTAGAAACCCGGGAAATTTAAGGGACATCCATCAATAAGGGACAGCAGCGGGACATGGCGCTGGGATAAGGGACTGTCCCTCCAAATAAGGGACACTTGACAGCTATGCCCTCGGCCCCATCCTTTTAGCCATAGATGCTGGAACTGAGCTGGGAATCTTTCTGCATGGAGAGGTGGGGGAACTTTTCTGACCCAAGGGCCACTTTTCCCATTTGCCAAGTGTCCGGGGGCCATGTTTCAGCAGAGGGCGTGACCAAACCAAAGATGGGCGTGGCCACACCCATAAATCGCACACAGGACACGCAAGAAATAAAAACGCCCTCATAGATTTTGGGCACAATATTGAATTGGAAGCATGGATAAAATTATGGAACGAGAGTTCGAGATACACTGGATGTAGGGCTTTGAAAGAGAACTTATTAAAAATGATTTACAGATGGCATTTAACGCCAACAAAATTGGCTAAAATGTACAGGAAGAGGGATAGAAGATGTTGGAAATGTAAAGAAGTAGACGGAGAATATTATCACATGTGGTGGACCTGTGACAAGGTGAAAAAATTCTGGGAGTTAATTTATACTGAGCTTAAACAGATATTTAAGTATGCCTCTCCCAAAAGACCGGAGGCTTTTCTGCTCGGTCTAATGGGAAGGAAAATTAAAATAAAAGACCGAAGACTATTTATGTATGCCACAGCTGCCGCAAGGATTCTACTGGCCCAAAAATGGAAAACACAAGACATACCATACTATATACTATGACAGATGAAGATGACAGACTTTGTGGAATTTGCCAAATTGACAGGAAGGATCCGGGACCAGGATGACCAGAGATACCTGAATAACTGGAGTAAATTTATTGAGTACAGTGGTACCTCGGGTTACATACACTTCAGGTTACAGACTCCGCTAACCCAGAAATAGCACCTCGAGTTAAGAACTTTGTTTCAGGATGAGAACAGAAATTGTGCTCTGGCAACACGGCGGCAGAAGGCCCCATTAGCTAAAGTGGTACCTCAGATTAAGAACAGTTTCAGGTTATGAACGGACCTCCGGAATGAATTAAGTACTTAACCCGAGGTACCACTGTATTTAAAGGAGAACTGTAAAAGCTTAAAGACACTAGCAGGACTGAAGTATAATGGAGTATAATGTAACCTATAATGTAAAATAGTAGAGATGTAAGAATAAAATACGCGATAAAAATGCAACAGGTGATACCAATTGAAGGGATGGAGGGAAATCAGGACTTGGCAGAGTCAAAGGGTATATATTTTGACAAATGTATGGATGTTGGGAAAAGGTTATTGAAAGAAAACAATAAAAATTTATTTGAAAAAAATAAATAAATGCAATTCCAGGCCCAAAAAAAGAAAAGAAAAAAGAAATAAAACCACCCTCGTGATTTCTGCATTGCAGAGGGTTGGACTAGATGAGCCCTGGGGTCCCTTCTAACTCTACAATTCTATTGTTCTATGAAACACAGGTACACACGCTCACATACAGGGGTATGCACACTAATTCCCCACCCCATCACACAATAGTGGTTGGGCGGAGGGGGGGAATAAATTTAAAAGCTGCCTTGGGAAATTTTATTTATTTATACATACATACATACATAGGGACACAGGTGGCGCTGTGGGTTAAATCACAGAGCCTAGGACTTGCCAATCAAAAGGTCGGTGGTTTGAATCACCACGACAGGGTGAGCTCCCATTGCTCGGTCCCTGCTCCTGCCAACCTAGCAGTTCGAAAGCACCTCAAAGTGCAAGTAGATAAATAGGTACCACTCCAGCGGGAAGGTAAACGGCGTTTCCGTACACTGCTCTGGTTCGCCAGAAGCGGCTTAGTCATGCTGGCCACATGACCCAGAAGCTGTACGCCGGCTCCCTCGGCCAGTAAAGCGAGATGAGCGCCGCAACCCCAGAGTTGGCCACGACTGGACCTAATGGTCAGGGGTCCCTTTACCTTTACCTACATACATACCCCGCCCAACTGGCTGGGTTTTCCCAGCCACTCTGGGCGGCTCCCAACAGAATATTAAAAACAGAATAAAACAGGCACAGGCAAACTCGGCCCTCCTGATGTTTTGGGACTACAATTCCCATCATCCCTGACCACTGGTCCTGTTATCTAGGATCATGGGAGTTGTAGTCCCAAAATATCTGGAGGGCCAAGTTTGCCTATGCCTGGAATAAAACATCAGTCATTAAAAACTTCCCTAAACAGGGCTGCCTTCTAAAAGTCAAATAGTTGTTTATTTCCTTGACATCTGATGGGAGGGCATTCCACAGGGTGGGCACACCACTGAGAAGGCCCTGTGCCTGGTTCCCTATAACCTCGTTTCTCGCAGGGAGGGAGCCGCCAGAAGGCCCTCAGTGCTGGACCTCAGTGTCTGGGCAGAACGATGGGAGTGGAGACGCTCCTTCAGGTCTACTGGGCCGGGATTCATTCAATAATAAATTCAAACATCAGGAAAGCCCTTCTGGAGCACCCCAAGTCCATATCTAGTCCCAAAATGGCTGTTCAAGTGACCAATGGAAGCCCCAAAGTAAGGCTTGAAGTTAGCCGACATTGAGGCTTCTTTATTTAAAGATAAGTTTCTAGTCCTTAAGGTGGGGAAAGTTTACTTAGAAGTGTGTCAACAATTTCTTTGGACATCTCAGGAGAAGCCCATGAGTGACTGCATAAGATTCCCAGTGATTTCGGGGCAGGGGTGGAGCTCGTAGCACTTTGCTCATATCTAACAAGTTAAAGAAGGTAAATGAGTAATATATATTTTTTAAAATAAATGGCAGAAGGTGGACTAAATGACCTATTGGTGCTCCCAGTTCTGTGATTCTCTGTTGCGAAAGCAGCTCCAAAGCCAGGCACTCTGGACCCTGGTGGAAAACGCCTTCGCAACACCTGCTTGTCTCAGCTTTCAGTAGGGAAATGGTTTTTGGATTACACAGCGCAGTGAAGTCACTGCGTCTCTGTGGTGCGCACACCCCTTCCAGAGGTTTATTGCCGATTAAACTATTTCACAACCACATAGAACTTCAGAACAGGAGAAAATGTGCTTGCTTGGCGTTTGAAGTTCAGCTCTGCAGAAAGCGGGGGCAGAAAAGGAGAACAGAATCCAAGGCGAACAGATGTCAGAGCTGAATGCTGAAGCATCATCTACGTTGCCGGGGGGGGGGGGACTCCCCCAGATTCTCCTCTGCAAAGCCGGGTGGCAAATATTTTTCTGGCCGCATTTTATTCTCAACATCTACACCTGGCTTCCAGCGCATTTTTAACAGCAGACCACATTTGATGGTATCAGCTAACTATTTGAAATGGCATTGAGTCAACTATTCTGTGCTAACTTCATTTGCACAACCAATCAGGAGACAAGCCTTTTTAAATACCAGAATTCAATTCTGAAACCCAAATATATATATTTGACAGGGGGAGAATCCAAACCCAAGACTGAGATGGCCTCGTTTCAAACATCCATTCTCTTTCTTTCCATCTGAGCAAAACTGGCCTTGCCAAACTGACAGAACAACTAAGCACTTCCAGAGGGCTCTCTTTTGAACCAGCCCCTCAAGTTCTGCAAGTTTTAGCTGACTCTAAACACAGAGTTTGCTAGATGAAAGCAAAACAGGAGAAGGAAATACCTTTGGGATTAGTTGAATTTTCCACCGCTTCTGCCTCGTAGCTCACACTTTTCTTCCCCACGAGAAAGAGAAGCTGCACCGATCTCTCCAAACCGTTGCATCAAGGCAGCAAGGAACATTTCCAAGCTCTTTTCAAGGAGCTGGTAACAGAGAAAGTCCTTCAGCAGAGGCAATGCCCTTTGCACATGCTCAGAAAGCGTTTGGGACTCCTCTTCATCCTCAGAAGTGGCTGCTCCCAGGACACACAGATCCTCTAAACTGAAGTCATGAAGGCACAACGTGCGCATTTCATCTCCCTTTTAAAGAACAGAGGAAGAGAAGAAGACGAAAGGAAACAAACAAGCCCCACCAGAATATCAGGATGAGAAATTTGGCAGGGATTCCTTCCCTTAAATCAGCAGCTGGAAGGAGAGGGTGTAACCCACTGACCTAGGAAAGCTGGCGAACAGCCTGCTGGAAAGCCATAGGCTAATAAGTGCTGGTAGTGGGAAGAACCCATTGCCAGACTTTTCTCTCTTTTTTTTAGCACACCGGGATTTTGCTCGGGGCACTGTTCAGAAAAATCAAAGGAACTGAGGTCTTTGGAAGAGAGGCTGGTCTGTTTTATCTGATGAAGGTGCAACAGACTGCACTCTGCAGGTGGGGACATCATTGGGGGGGAGGGACTATTCAGGTTAACGGGGTCTCCGTACAAGAGTTAGAACATAAGAACATAAGATGGGTTTGCTGATCAGGCCAAATGCTCATCCTGTCCTCACAGTGACCAGCAAGATACCTCAATGGACACAAAAGTTGTTGAGTTTGTCTGTTTTTGCAAAATCCTAGCTATGTCCAGATGTGTGACAACCCTGCCTTTCTCCTCCTGAAGCTTCCAATAATTGGTATTCAGAAGTATTACACATATCCTCCAACATTTCCACAATAAAAATGTTGTTGTTTAGTCGTGTCCGAGTCTTCGTGACCCCCTGGACCAGAGCACGCCAGGCACTCCTGTCTTCCACAGCCTCCCGCAGTTTGGTCAAACTCATGCTGGTAGCTTCGAGAACACTGTCCAACCATCTCGTCCTCTGCCGTCCCCTTCTCCTTGTGCCCTCCATCTTTCCCAACATCAGGGTCATTTCCAGGGAGTCTTCTCTTCTCATGAGGTGGCCAACGTACTGGAGCCTCAGCTTCAGGATCTGTCCTTCCAGTGAGCACTCAGGGCTGATTTCCTTCAGAATGGAGAGGTTTGATCTTCTTGCAGTCCATGGGACCCCCAAGAGTCTCCTCCAGCACCATAATTCAAAAGCATCAATTCTTCGACGATCAGCCTTCTTTATGGTCCAGCTCTCACTTCCATACATCACTACTGGGAAAACCATAGCTTTAACTATACGGACCTTTGTCGACAATAAAAATAGGGATGTCCTATTTCATAGTTGTTGTTATTGTTGTTATTTTACAACAGATAGACCCTGCCCATCTGACTGGGTTGCCCCAGCCACTCTGCGTGGCTTCCAACATACGTATAATCATTAAACATTATTTTTTAAAAAACAAAACCCTTCCCTATACAGGGCTGCCTTCAGACGGCTTCTAAGGGTTGCATATGGCTCGGGGGTCTTATAACACCATACCCTTCGATGAAAATAGGGATGGCCAACATTCCTACAATGAAAATAGGGGCATCTTAAGGAAAAGTGGGTACATTCTGGGATCTAACCAAAAACTGGGACGGCTTCTGTAAATAGTGGCACTGGGAAGGGTCTGCCTGTGGGGGCAGAGAATATCCATTTTGGCTTGTAACCATTGGTAGCCTGATCGTCCATGAATTATAAGGACATGAGAAGGACCCATCTAGCCTGGGGTTACCAGACGTCCCCAGTTCCCAGGGACACTCCCCGGATTTGCAGATCTGTCCCTGGACAAATTCCGTCCCCGGAATGTCCCCAGATTTGCAAATCCGTCCCCTGGAAACGTGGCAGCGGCAGCCTCAGCAGCCCGGAGCCAGCCTGTTAGCACTGCCCGCTGCCGTGGCCCCTGCCATTTTCCCTGCGCTATGGCAGCGAGCATCTCCTGAAGCCAGCTAGAGCCAACTGCACTACCAGGCTGGCCCCTCCTGGGCAACGGCCGCCCGCCCATGACTCCTGAGCCTCCCCTGATCTGTCAAAACAAAGGGGCAAGGGGGAAGGAGATCAGGGAAGGCTCGGGAGTCACAGGCGGGTGGCACGCCATTGCCCAATTTTTAAAAAAACTGCGCATTTATGTTTCACAGGGTGCGAAAGAAGGGCTTTGCACCTTTATACAATATGCATGTATGCTTGGGCCCAGGGTCTTTTGCCTCACCATCCCCGCTACTGACTCCCTGTTGCTACTCAGCTTCCAAAAAAAAAAAAGAAAAGAGGTGTCCCCGGATTCATTGGAAAAAATCTGGTAACCATAATCTAGCCCAGCTTCCTGTTCTCACAGTGGCCAGACAGATACCTCTTTTTGGGAAGATGAAGACCACAAGCTGGATTTGAGCACAGCAGTGGCCTGTCCCCGGTCCTGCTCCACATCAACTGGCCTTCAGTAGCACAGACTGCAGAGCAGCCTTCTGCGCTGAGAGAGCTGTGACCTTTCCCCAGATGGACAGCCAGACATCCCGGCAGCAGCTGGGCCGCGAACCTCCCTTGAAACAGGCCCCCACCCACTCGCACCGATGGATCTCATTTGCCTCTTTCGCAACACCTTTCTGGTTTGATCTGGCACCTGGTGGAAATTGTCCTCCGGGCTGCCGGGATGTCCCCTATTCCAGGAAGCGGGTGGGCAATGCCGGATGAGGCCAGAGAAGCTGGGGTTGGGGGGGGGAGAGATGTTAAGGTTGTCTGCCTTTGCTCTCCCCTTCCATCAGCCGGTTTGCAAAATAAGCAGCCCTAAGCAAAAGTTATTTGATTTGCGCAACGCACACTGCCTCAGGCATCTTCCGAGGTACAGATTTAATCGAGATAAATAATGCATTGTTTACGGGGGCGATGGTGCCCCAAAATGCTCACGAGGTGGTTTTTCTGCCTGCCTCTTCCATAATCGCTTTGACAGCGAGTCGTGGGATGTTTTGTGTCCCTGCCAACTTTCGCTAGAGATGGAGTTCTGCCCCCAGACCTTAGTTAGGGACTGTGAAGAGGAGTTTCCCTGCTTGGCCCTGCTTCAGGAATCCACCTGTGCCTTCACGACAGAAGCGACACTGGCAGCAACTTCCATCTTCCCCCTCAGATAATAATAATAATAATAATAATAATAGGGACGTGGGTGGCACTGTGGGTTAAACCACAGAGCCTAGGACTTGCCGATCAGAAGGTCAGCGGTTTGAATCCCCGTGACAGGGTGAGCGCCTGTTGCTCGGTCCCTGCTCCTCCCAACCTAGCAGTTCGAAAGCACAAAGTGCAAGTAGATAAATAGGTACCACTCCAGCGGGAAGGTAAACGGCATTTCCGTGTGCTGCTGTGGTTCGCCAGAAGCGGCTTAGTCATGCTGGCCACATGACCCGGAAGCTGTCTGTGGACAAACGCCGGCTCCCTCGGCCAATAAAGCGAGATGAGCGCCGCAACCCCAGAGTCGGTCATGACTGGACCTAATGGTCAGGGGTCCGTTTACCTTTAATAATAATAATAATAATAATAATAATAATTTATACCCCGACCATCTGGCTGAGTTTCCCTAGCCACTCTGGGAGGCTCCCAACAGAATACTAAAAATATGATAAAACATCGAACATTAAAAACCTCCCTAAAGAGGGCTGCCTTCAGATGCCATTGAAAAGTCAGTTAGTTGCTTATTTCCTTGACATCTGATGGGAGGGCGTTCCACAGGGTGGGTGCCACTACCGAGAAGGCCCTCTGCCTGGTTCCCTGTAGCTTTGCTTCTCGCAATAAGGGAACCACCAAAAGGCCCTCGGCGCTGGATCTCAGTGTCCGGGCTGAACGATGGGGGTGGAGACGCTCCTTCAGGTATACAGATCTATTTGCATGCCTAACTACCAACGCACCAAAGGGAGAGGCAGCGACTGTCCCAGTCAACAGGCCTAGAAGCAAGAAGGTGTGTGATTAATGTGGGTGAGAAACTCTTTATCATCTGCATTTAATGATATGGTGGCGGCGGTTGTTTTTCTGAACCAGAACAGCTCTCCGGGCAGCAAAAATGAGGTCTGGATCTTACTGGGGCAGCAGAAGGAGTATTCCCAAAATGGCCACCGCTTGTTTTTACCCACAACTCCCCTCAGAACAATGCTAGGTGACAATGTAGCTTCATTCATGAGGCCATGGGGTGGGGGTTAAAATGGAGGCCTGCCATTATTGCTTGAAACTGGAATGTTATTGTCAGGGAACTGCCATCGGAGCTAGAGGTGGAGGGAAGGCTCCAGAGCGATGCTGGAGAGGGTCCCAGTAGGGAGAGAGGCAGCCCGTCTGCTGGGGAAGGAAATCAGCGTAACACCAGTAAAGAAGGGGGGCAAATGGGGGAATCGGAGAGGAGGCTCCAAGACTCCTCGCCGGAGACCAGCGGAGAGAGTACGGGTCCTCAGCTGCCCACACCCTCCCTGCGCAGAAGACTTCCGCGCAGGGAGTCTAGGCGGAGACTAGGCGTCAAAGAACTTTTGTGCTGGAAGAAGTTTAAGAAACACCCACTGACGGATTCTGCCAGCGACTGAGACAGTCACGATGCTAGAGGCTGTTCAGTCAGAAAGGGTTTAACCAGGTAACCTAGCCAGGAGTGGCGGCAACTTACGCACGAGCAACCCCTAAATCCATTACAGTTATGTACTGAAGTTCTCACCCTGGGCCAGCAGGGGGATACTGTAGATAGTTATGCAAATGAAGGATCGAAAGTGACATTCAGTGATTGGATAGTTTGTATGCAAATGAAGGATCGAAAGTGACGTTCAGTAATTGGATAGTTTTAGAAAATGGCAACAGTTACATTGTTCTGGAGCTCTATATAAGCAGGCTGACTGAGCTCCTCAGTCAGTTCTGTTCCAGCTTACAAATAAAGAGCTGCTTTGGAAGAATCGCTGTGTCGTCTGCTATGTCTACCCACAACTTAACATGGAGCAACAGAGAAAGAAAAAGAAAAAGAAGTGAAAGAAAGAGCAAAAAAAATAGGCCTGCTTTTGTCCGCTTCTCGCCCTCAATTCAGGTGGAAGTTCCTTGAGGAGAACTGTCAGTCCAGCCCTAATGATATAATGGACACCAATTGCAGAATTCTGTTGTTCTGCATGCAGAATTTTGGCGCATCAGAAAGACAGTGTTGTCTTGTCTATTCTTTTCCTCTTTTGATTTTTTTTTACTTCGTATTTTTGTTATTTCTTTATTCCCCCCCCCTCTTTTTTGTTCCTCTAGAAATTTTCTATTCTCTACATAATTTTCTTTTTCTTCATATGTA